CAACCGGTAGCCTACTTACTTTACAGTAAAGGCAGAGCATGTAGATCGAAAAGCATTTCTAAAAATACTCAAATATGCTGAGAAATCTACAGAAATACTCTATTTATACTCTGCAAATATGATGGCATAGCTGACTATTTCTTAAAAGGCTTCCCATAGCTGTAAGATGCACAGAGGAACCAGAAGATTGAGCCAAGGATAACCCAGCAGAAACACACTGATGGCAGAGCAGGGCTCGATGCTGTCTGAAAGGCAAAGACAAGTTCAGGTTTAGGCAGAGAAAGTATTCATTTAGTTTTACATAGTGCCACAATACAGCTGCTTTACCTAGTTCAACAGACAGAGTCTTCTGGATCTTGGTTACTTTACAGATGAACGTTGTATTCTCAGTGACGGTGAAGCTCATAATGGTCAGCCTGAATCCATATGGCTCAAGCTCTGTCACAAACGTGTTGTGCCTGAACTTGGGTTCAGGCATGATTCCAGAGATGTTGGTGTTTATGATGATCTCCTTCTGGCCTTTAGACATGGAGAACTCATAGTCTGTGTGGTAGTTGTGTCTGGGCTCCAGAAGGCAGTCCACTCTGAGGTCGTTATCTTCCTCTTGGCATACTGTAATTACACTCTCTTCATCCTGACACAACACTGGGATCATCAGAACTGGAGATGAGAAATCATTGAGCCTGTTAGGTATTTGCCATATCTGCACAATGCTTTGTAAAAGTCAAGAGTTCAGTACAGCACTACATTTATTTAAAGTACTCCCCAAAATTATAGTTGTCATCATTTGCTCAATCTCATGCCTCCTCAACACTGACTTGCTCTCTTTTGAGGATTACAAAGGGTGCATCTTTGAATAATTTTAACATTTTCCATTTAACAAAAGTGGGTTGGTAAATCTTCTTTTCAGCTATATGTGAGGTAATGTATTATTGATTGTGATATATTGTATCCATAGAAAAGTGTACTTATATATTTATATATTAAATATTATATTATATATTATTATTGTTTTATATATATGTGTGTGTGTGTGTATATATATATATATTT